ACACCTCTGGGGTCCTCAGGGACTGCTTTGCAGCTCTGCCCCCGGGGAGTCTGGGGAGACGGCGGGGGAAGGCTGCCGGCGGAATTAAAACCCCCTTTCCATGGAGATGATAGAGCTCTTCAGAGTGCCAGTCTGTCTACAGAGTGGGAGCAATTTCCCTGTAATTGGTAAAGTAACCGTAACTGCTCTGTCATTTGTATGTAGCGACACGTAATTGCACGGTAACCTTTGCCGCCGTGCGCAGGGGAAGCGCGCTAAGCTATTAGATTGTAATTTGGAGTGTCAGCTCCGGCTGTCCACACCGCCTTCACCGCCAGCGCTCGGGAGCCTGCCACCGAGCCTCTGTATCCGGATCCAGAGGGCCTGCTCTGGAGCGGCTGCGCCGTCCTTCCCTGGGCCGGGGCTGTGGGGTCCTTGGCAAGGAAGGGACCTCCACAGGGTCCCAGGCCAGTGCTTCCCCACCTGCTGAACGAGGCTCCAGCACCTACCTGGGAAGGGGTTAAGATGCAGGTCCCCGAGTTCCTGATCCAGTAGATCTGGGGTCGGTTCCAGAATTTGCGTTCGAAATGAAACAGCGCTAAATGTTCTAGATCTTGCCATCCCTCCGTTCCTTCCTTCCGCCTCATAGGCCCTATAGATCTTTAGGAAACACTACTTTTGCTATCTCGTCTTGATGACATTAGCCTCTTTGAATGTGATAACACCTCTCTGAGGTGGACACCATGAATTTTCCCCAAAACGTGAGACACACAAAGGTTGTTGGGATTGTCTAAGGATGACAAACGACAAAGCTGACACTCCTGTAGTATTTACTAAGTGCCAGACGGTGTTCTACGTGTCTTAAATAATTTAATCCTCGCCCCAGCACTAGCAAGTATATACTCCTGTTATTATCCCCAGTCTACCAATGAGAAGCTGAGGCACGGAGAGGTTAGATACCCTTGCTCAAGGTCGCACAGCATTAAGTGGTGGAGTTGGGGTTCAAGTCTAGGCCTTCTGATTCTAGTTCAGCAGTGTTAACCACTGTGAAATCAGGCTTTAATTTACTCATCCGTCTATCTGTTCATTTAACACACATATGTCTCAACCTACTGTGAACCAGGAATGAAGCTAAGGGTATGAAGATACATAAAACGTGGTCCTGTCCTTGAGCTCATGGTCCCTGGAATCCAGTAGATCAGCGCTCGGGAGACTAATAATCTCGACTAATAAAGCCATGCAACCGTGAGGATGTTTGTGGAAAGCGGACTTGGGATCTTCCTGCGTGGGGCAGAAGGGGGTGGCCCTGTCTGAGGCTTTAATGGGACGCTGTCTGTTCCCAGGGTTGCCCACGTAGGCACCTCATACATTCCCATGGAACAGATCCTTATTTTTTCCTTGGTAAGAGTGAAGTTGCTATCTAACAAATAAGCATTATAACAATGGCCAAAGCTCATTTGTGTGCATTTGTGGAGCAACCGAGGGAGAGGTATGGCTGGGTTCCTGATTATAGTGGGGTCCAGTCCACCCCTGGTGCCCCTGGCTGCTGCTCTAATCTTGCTGTTAATGGGGCCCAGGGGAGAGCTTGGCCACGGCAAGAGTATACACTCTCCTCCCCCACTGCCCAGGGTGTTCCGGAATCCACACCAGCCCTCACCTGTCGAAGGCTTTCAGCAATTAGCCTTTCCTTCCAGGGCCCACATGGCCCCGGCATCTCTGCTCCTTACACCTCAGCCTCCCCAGGCTGTGGTCCCTCTGGGGTCCCCCTGCAGTGATCAGTGCTCTAATTACCCTCTGCCCACAGCTCAGACCCAGCATAGGGGCATCCTTAGGGAGCCCACTCTGGTCAGGGGCCATGCTAGGGATGCTCCCTGCAGCCATCCCACCCCTGTTCTGGGCAGGATTCCCATGAAAAAAAAAAAAAAACAAACCCAAAAAACAAATATAAACTATCATCCTGCATTGACAGGGTGCTTTCCTCTTTACCCAGCATCCTCACACCTGTTTTCTCACCTGGCCCTCAGGACAGTCCTGTCTCACTGTTTTATATTTGAGTTGTGCGGTTGGGAAGGGAGCTGCCACGTGATCCCGAGTCCTGTGTCATCTCTGCTACTTCGTGTTAAAGGTCCCGCCCATCCCCATTGCCCCTGCTTTGAGGAAACAAAGAGTAAGCCCCCCTCGGGCCACAGCTGGGGGACCTCAGCATCCCTGCAGACCTGGACTGCACCCGGCTGAAAGCCTCGATCAGAACTTTATCACCTGGGGCGCTATGTAGAGGGAGAAACCCATATGTGGTGGGAAGGGCGGATGCTCGGGAGAAAGCCATCGTTGTCCCAGTGCCACGTGAGGAGCCCCAGCGGTGGCCCTGGTCCCATCGGAGCCCGATGACAACACCCCGAGGCAGGTGGGCAGTGTGGGGGATGGTTGTCAGGTCCAGGCGAGCGGACTGGCTGCCTCCTGACTGTCACAAGCCGAAGACGGGCAGGGCCGTGGCCACCAGGCTGCCCTGCTCAGCTGTCCTCGCTTACCACCACCCCCGTGGGAACATCCCTCCCTGGCCCCCTTGCCGCTCATGGTGCCAGAGTGGCAGAGACTTGCAGCCTCCGAGCAAGCCGCGATTCATGCTGCAAGCGGCCAAACATGCACGCTGCTCTTTTTGTAAGGGGTTCGGTATTTATCTGTTGGTGTTCGGCCTGGCCGAGGGGAAGAAGGGTGTCCAGTGATGGGCCACTCAGAAACGTAATTATGGGGGCTGAGCAGCCTACAGCCTATGCCAGCGAGGTGCATGTTTGTGCCAAAGGTGGTGGGAGAGTGTCAGACATGCCTGGTCTTGCTCCCTGCCTCAGTTTCTCCTTTTGCACCATAGACGATCATCCAGCGTCATCTACTTGGAAAATGCACCATGAGGGCAAAAGTCCCTGTGGCACAGCTTAAGCCTAAGGAAGTCATGGGTGAGGGCTCCTTGTGAAGAGGAGGCAGGAACATGCAAGGCCATGAGGATTCCCAGCATGCCCTAGGCAGCCCTTGGCATGCCTGGCATAGCATGCTGCTCGTATGTCTGTCAGGGAGAAGGCACTGTCCTCCCTTTATCTGGATTTTTCCTTCTTCTTTTCTTCCTGTCCCTTTTACCTTCCACCACCTGCCTCCTCCCCCATGTCCTCATTTTAGGAAAGAACCATAAAGATCAGACTAAACCTTGAAAGCTCCCTCCTAACTTTGACTTCTGTATTGTTTTTTGGGGGGCAGGGGGGGGAGGAGTTGGGAGTTGTGTTTGGCCTGGGCTATTGGGCCAGACCACGCAAGAAAGGCCAGAGGGGATCAAAGGTGTGGTGCAGACATCTGTTATGCACGTGGCCTGCTGGGCCTGCCCCCTGTTCTGCCCAGCTCTGTCCCAACTGCCCCCATGAGAAGAAGGAGGGGAGAGGTCAGAGAGAGGTTTTAGATGCTTAGCATGTTGTCTTCTCTGAGATGGACAATGCCCATCACCCCAGCCACCATCCTACGAGGGAGCTGAGGGGCCCTCTGAGTCTCTGGAAAGCTCAGAGTTGGCCACTTACACACAACTCCTCTGGCAAGAGCTTGCCTGCTGCTTCTCCAGATGCCTTTTCCTTTGGCTGGATTGAAGCCTTTAAAAAAATGACACCTTGGATTTTATTTCACTCCTTTTTCTAAAAAGTCCAAAGACGTTTACAGGCGTGAGCTCTATAGACTTTATGGAAACCCATCAAAAAGCAGGCCTTGTTTCCTTCATCTTTATAGAGTGGAAAATAAAAGCACAGGGAAGATGGAATAACTCTTCTAAGGCCACACAGGTCTTCTGAGAAAGAGGGGAGGGAAAGCCAGCGTAGGTTCCTAGAGCAGCCTCAGAGAGGTCTGTGCCAGACCAGAGCTGCTCGATGGGCACGCTGGGGGCTCTGCGCCAGCTGTGGCAAGGTCCCTTCCACTCCCTGGAAGGACAGAACCCGGCTGTGACCCTGTGCTCACATGGGGATCCGGGAGGCTGGAATAAAACAAGGAGAGACTCACCAGAAACACAGTGGTGAAATGGTCCAAAGGCTTTTTCTGTTGGTTCCCGGACTCCTGAAAGTGTCCAGGACTCAGGAGCAAAGAGTTGGATGCGTGTGTCACACAGGGTATCCAGGGGATATTCTCTTTAAGGAATGCTCGTAGACGTTCCAGTCATTTTTAGGGACTACAGTGCTTAGGAAAGGCTGAAGGAATGTTAAACATATTTCTTCTTGAAAAGACTTTTTAGATCTTTCCTGTAACTAATCGTTTGGAGCCTCTCATGTGGTGTTGGAATGTACTGTTTCGGTACAAAATTATTTGCCCAAGGAGCCCTGTTTTGGTGGAGCATCCTTGGGGGGCTTGACTTCCACAGAAGACACCGTGGGGAATGCTGGGTTGCCCATCTTCCCCCATGCTTTAAAAAACAAAACGGAACAGGGAATCTGAGATGGGGCATCACGAGGCACCACTGTGGCTTGTTGAGTTCATTCGTGAACCTTCTACTTCTATTCCTCTCTCCCCAACTGATTGCCTGTGCATGCCTCTGTCATGGTATTGTCACTCACATGTTAATGTTTCTAGTTCTCTGTTCTGCACTCAAGAGTCCTCATCTGTGTGTCTGCTCAATAATAAGTGTAGGTGTGGAGGCCACATTCCCTCTTACTCCGGAGGAGAGCTGTCCGGAGCGGCCCCTGCTCATGGGTGCTGGCCCAGGGCTTGCTGGTGTGATGGCGATGATGGACGATCTAAGCTACCAAGATGGAGCCCTGAGGGGTTGGAGGTGGGGCAGAGAGGCCACGGAGGCCAGCAGAGGAAAGAGACTCTAGGGATCTGTGTTTTTTCGCCATGGTCCTTCCAACTACTTAGGTTGACTGTTGACAGGCCACCTAGTTTCTCTGGATCTGATTTTTTCACATGAAAGAGGATTCTCCTAGCCTTGCCATTCCCTGACTCGGTACTTCTGCTTATTGCCCTGATGTTCCCTCCTAATTTTCCTCCTTTTTAATTTTCAGCTCTTAACCATTGATGATAATTTCTGTGGCCTGGATATGAATGCCCCCCTGGGCGTGTCGGAGATGGTGCGTGGCATTCCCGTCTTCACGGAGGACAGGGACCGCATGACTTCCGTCATCGCGTACGTCTACAAGAATCACTCTCTGGCCTTCGTGGGCACCAAAAGTGGCAAGCTGAAGAAGGTAGGACCTGCGAAGGCAATCTCTTCCCACTGGCATGGATATTATCTCATGCTGTTTTACTACTTTGGCCCCAATGGGCAAGTGTTACAAGCTTGAGCTAAGGAGATAAGTTGCTATTGAGGTCATGAATGATGCCCTGTCCCTCCTCTGCCTTCGTGTGGAGGGTTGTTGTGGGGATCACAGTGGGTGAGGGTGCAGATTCACCTCTTTCCTAGGGCTGGTGTGCACATGGCGGAGTTACTGCAGCCTCACCCGGCCATCCTAAAGGGCGTGCTCTGGCCAGCCTGGGTTTGTGCCCTGCAGCAATGGCTCTTGAAGGGCAGTGGTTGGGGAAGGTGGACAGGGGCAAGTTATGTGCTTGTTCCTCTTGTTTCAGTCTTTTGACTGGTGCATCCATCTGGAATCCGTGCGGGGAAACAGATAAAAGAAAGTTCAGGACCTGCTGGAGCTGCTGTCGGGGCTGAGAGTCAGACGGTGGGATGAAGAAACTGGCTATTGTGAGGGCATAGAAATGACTTGAGATGGAGTAGAATGGTATGACCTGGACATGAGCTTTTCTTCCTCATCCTCTAGAAGCTTTCAGGCCTCAGGGTATTGGGTGATGTTGGCCCATCAGCAGCACTGGGGGCACCCTTCCATCTAAGACTCTTCTCTCAGTCACATTTGCTCAGGCTTCTCATCTCAATGACTTGGAGCTGGTGCCCTAGAGAGCCCCGGCTTGATTGGATCCAAAGCCTTCCTAAGACTAAGCACTAAGCAGTATATCCTGTTTTGTGTTGGCTGATGATTGCACTTCAGTCTCATCCCAGGGAAATATTGGTGAATCTATGTGGAAATCCTGCTTGTCTAATTTAAACTTCCCGTGGAATTCTCTGGATGTTGTGTGATTCACACTGGGCACTACCCGATCTGAAACCGTTTTGAACTCTACTTTCTCTTCATTGTGTTTTGGGGTATTAGCGCCACGTGGTCAAGGGGACATGTTCTGGGCAAATCTGGAAGACTTTGCCTACTCTCCCATCCTACTATATAACAGCCTGGCAATCATTTCTTTCTCTAAATCCGACATCTCTTGGAACAGGCAGTGGGGCTGGAGTGTGAGAGTAGGGAGGGGGAAAGGCAGGGAGAGTGTGTGTGAGGTGGGGGGATGTGCGGGGTGTAGTTACACGGGTAGTATCTGGAAGAGGAAGCATGTGCTGGGGAAGTGCCATGACGCGCCACCAGGATGATGCGGGCGGCGTGCCACCATCTGGTGCTGCCCAGAGAGCTAACCGTGGAACTGTCGTGGAGGGCCTTCCGTGTCAAATGAATGACTAATTTCACCATCATCTCCATAGCTTTCAGAACTATATTTCCTAATTCCCCGCATTTCTGTGAAGACTATGTTAAGTCTTGTGGCTGCCTTGGCCTGTTGTGATTCTGGCTCACACGTTGAACTGAAACTCGTGGAAGCCCGAGAGGCTGCCGTGTGCGAGGTGTTGGTGTGTCGTCCTGGCATGACTCCTACCTGGATGGTGCTGTCTTCTGCCTCTCCCTCTAGTGCACATGTGTCTACGTGTCTCATCACCTCCAGCTGCTGTCAGGAGCCTGGGCCAACTTCAGTCTCTCCTCCTCCCTCTGTCCTTGACTTTCAGCTTTCCGTGAACTGGGAGTCAGGTATCCAAACTGGATGAAATTGTGTCCCATAAGCCTCGGTATCAAGAGAGGAGGGAAGAGCCCAGACTTTGGAGCAGGGGCCTTGAGGTGTTTCTGTTGGATGGCCAGAGGATTTCATTTTTCATTATGATTCGGAGAGTTTGATTTGCTAGGAAAGTGAGTTCTAAATACCAAAGGCATTCCCACAGGGTGTTCATACAATGACCTGCTTCACCTGACCTGATGTGTTAAATAAGCACTATTGGGAGTAGAAAGTAAGCAAGACGATTTGGGGTGCTTTAACTCTTTTCTCTAGAGACCCCAATCTCAGTGCAATGGAGAAGTAACTTACCCCAATGTGCTAAAAGATTTGCACCCACTGAATTTCCTACCCTGGGCCATAGGATCACTTACTTGCTGGCAAGACTGAGTAGATCCTTTAGGAGGCTTTTTTTTTTCTCCTTTTTTTTTTTTTTTGTCATTGTCTGAGCTGGTGTCAGTGAAATAAACACTGAGAGTTCAGTGCACATAACAGAACAGACAGTTATTTTCTCTTGGGGGAGCAAAAGAGACATGTTTCCTGGCCATGGTTGCATTGTAAACCCAAGACAGTCAACCTGCAAATGTGCTCTGTTGGTCAGAGGATGGATCGAGGTCAGTGGGGCTGGCTCTCTTGCACCCGTGGAAGCCAGGCCCCTGATGGGGAGGTCAGAGTGCAGCACATGTCCATGACAGTGGGCTGAGGACACCTCCGGGGGTCTGGGCACGCAGAGTGCACAGAGACAATGCCCATAGGGCAGGCTGTAGGCAGAGCCTTGCCTTCAAGTGTCCCCAGAGCTCAGCCAGGCCTGCAACGACAGGCAATACCTGACCAGGAGGCTCGGGGCTTTATAAACCTTGGACTGGCATTTCCCATTATTTTGGGGAGTTGATGTAAGAACAGTTCTGTTCCAGCCACCTGGGACGTTCCATTTAATTTCCAGAGCAATGGGGCGATTGGTGAAGCATAAACATTTGAGAGGTAAGAGCAGAGGGTCATGTGGGGGGAATGAGCCAGCGGCCCTCCTGGGGAAAGCCGGGCCGTCGGGGCAGCCAAACTTTCTGCTCCATGAGCTCAGAGTGGCAGCCTTTTTAATAGTTTTGCTGGAACCCAGCTACTGCTGCTGCAGACTCAGCATAGCCGGCCCAGGGGACAGTGTGAGTTGGGAAAGGAAGGCTGGGCTGCTGAGTCTGTTGTTTGAAATAATAAAAAGCAAAGGCCAGTTTATTTATTTTTTCCAAACAATAGAATTTCCCACCACCCTGCTCGCTGAGCACCACTCCCCTTTCCTTGCCATAACTCTGTATTGCTTTTCTCAGAGGTTATCGGACCACATTCACCTTTTGGGCAGAGGCCCAGCCATGAAATGCTTTGGGGCTGCAGGAGGATTTTTGCAGGAAGTTTTGTGAGCTACTGAAACGAGGGGGTGAGAATAATGGAAATCACACTGCAGCCGTAATTACAGAGTTGTCTTCCCTGAGCCCTGTAATAATCTCCTGTGTGTATCAAGGGCCGTGCAGAGTTCTTTGCAATACGACAAGAGACTTGAGGTGGGGAGGGTGGGTGGGAGGGCTTGGGGGTTTGCTGTGGGTTTCAGGGGTCTGAGAGCTAGACTGTAGCTATCCATAGGCTGCCCTCAAAATTACTGACTTTTCCTTTTGTTTGGAAGGTGTGGGTCCCCATCATTTGCAACCTTGTCTCTGATGACCATAATTTCACTCCTTTAGTGCACACATCACATGAGGCAGAGGGAAAGGAGGTGAGGAAAGTGCCAATTTGGATGTCTTTCATGTTTTCTGATATGTGTGTGTGTGTGTGTGTGTGTGTGTGTGTGTGTGTGTGGCCGGTATTGGCAGCTTTTCCATGGCTAGTGTTATAGGCAAGCACTGTTAAGCAATGTGGCATATAAATGCTACCAGTCACCAGGAAGTACCTAGGAACTTAAGAAATAACCCACAGACTGTTAAAATTTCAACTCCTGGTTAAAAAAAGTCTTAAGGCGAATACTATCCTGATCTGCTGTAGAGTGTCTGCGGAAACGAGAAAATCTCTGTCCTGAGTTGGGGTAATGAGGCCAGTGTTGCCTCAGATGAACAAAAATTTCTTTGCTTAAATATTTTGGCTCTTTCCTTGCCTCTTGCATTCCTACCACTAAGTGATCATATTTTATAGCTGCTGTTCGGCAGTGAATTTACTGCCTGACATTAGTGGGAGAGACTAATGTTCATTGTGAGCCAAAACATCATAAACTTCCACGCGAGGTGTGATGGCTCCTTTCCTTTTGTGATTGCATTGTTCCTGAGTATTTAACTAGGCTAAACTGTTGACATCTAAGGGGCAGAGCAGTTTGTGGAGACTGGTTATGCAGAACTCGGACTGGTCCGACTCTTGGCCCATAGGAGGATATGTACCCTTGTGTGTGACATGCCAAGCCTCAGCAGCCTCTCTTGACAGGGGCTCAGCGTGTGTCAGCAGGGAGAGTACACAGGAGTAGATATCTTAAAAATCATTCCCGTCGGGAATTATTATGCACATCATCAAAATGGATATTGCCTATTTCGAAATTGATTTGCTTGTGTTCCACGGTTCCAGAAGGGCAACCAAACAGAAGTGGGGTGGGGTGGAGGGAGACCCACCTGGGTCTGTATCATTCTGACCATAAGTTCTAGGGAAGAGATGCTCTGTGTGTGTGCAATGCTCAAGTCACAGAGCAATACTGGATCAGAGATGTGTAGCCACTGCTTTGTGACTTCCTAAATGTATCCGAGAATTCTAAACACTCCCCTGGAAGTTTGAATCAACTTTAAAAAGAAATTCATTCCATTGATAGGACTCCAAATGGGTGAAGGTATCACAAAATCGAATGGAGATGTAATGTTGGAACTCCAACTTGCCTGGGGATCCTGAGATTAGAGCAGAGGTGCATGATCTGGGGCAGGATTTGGTCAGTGAGCTCTGTTACGAGTTTCTTCAAACAGAGGTGTGTAGGAAGCCTGTGTAGATCTGAAGGTGTGGGGTAAGTGAAGAGGAGCTGAGGTTGAAGATGCTACAGACAGAAGAGCACCACAGATGTTTTAGGGGTGCCGTGCCCCTTCTACTCATCTTTCATCTCGGGGGGACAAGACATGGCTTTTCTGTCATTAGTCCTTCAAGCCTGGGGACCGCAAGACTGGCTGGCCTTCACACCAACCTCACTTCATGCCAATTGCCCACTCTGGTCCATCTCCTACTTGCGCAGCCTTCCCTGCTGGGTTTTAAGCCATTTTGTCCATGCGGTATGTGGTAGATGTGGAGGGCGGCCTAAGCTGGTCAATGTCCTCAAGGG